TCAAACGCCTAGAAGAGCGGATGATGATGATCACCACTAAAAATAATAATAATAATGACTCCGACGATGACTTGAGCTTATTCACTGCTTACGTACAAGCATACAAGCAGCAGGAGCAACTAATGGCGGCAGTGCTCACTACTACTACTACTACAGCTGCAGTACTGATGAATAAGTTTCTGAGGGACAGTTTCTTGACTTTAATGTTAGCAGGGAGAGATACAACCAGCACAGCTCTCACTTGGCTTTTCTACCTGCTTGCCCAAAACCCATTGGTTCTGGCAAAAGTCCGACACGAGATTGAAAACAAATTGAATCTAAAACAAGAAGACAAGCGATTTTTCAAGGTGGAAGAATGCCACAAGTTAGTGTATCTACACGCTGCTCTGTGTGAGTCCCTCAGACTATTCCCGCCGGTGGCCATTGAGCATAAAGTGTCGGCGGGGATGGACGTCCTCCCTAGTGGACATCTGGTCAAGCCCAACACCAGAATCCTTCTCTTATTTTATTCTTCAGGAAGAATGGATTCAATATGGGGTGAAGGTTGTATGGAGTTCAAGCCTGAGAGGTGGATTTCAGGCAACGGAAGAATCAAGCATGAGCCGTCTTACAAGTTTCCGGCATTCAACGCCGGACCCAGGACTTGTATAGGTAAACAAATGTCTTTCGTTCAGATGAAAATGATTATATTGCTGCAATCATCCTGCATCATTATGACTTTCAAGTGGTGGATTCCGATTCAGTTTCTCCCAGTGATTCAATCATCATTCAAGCTAAACAAGGCTTGAAAGTCAAATTTACCAAACATAGTATGTAATACATACGAACATACTGCATATATATGAAATTGATTCACCACGAAAGTGGGACAATTCATTGTTTTAATCCTTATTTATTAATCACGAGAATGATTCGTAGATTAGGATACCTACGTGCATTCTCGCTTGATTCCTTGGTTACTTGTTCTCCCTAATCTCTTAGGTTGTTAAAGCATCTCGATGATAATGCTCTCTAGCTTGAGTCTTATTTCTTTATTTCGTGTTTACATCTTGTTAATATGTGTTTGTGTTACTTTGTTTAGTTATCGTAGCCTCAATCTCGTTATAATTTGCTTAGCTTCTTGTTAATTTTCTTGTGATTGCATATTGCGTACCATATCCCCCAATCCCCTGAGGACGACATTACACACACGTACACTCACTATCACTCATTTTTACCACAATCAATAACCTCTTTCCACATTGGTCCTTCCGTAGAAGTCACGACTTTTACATACGTTCGAGACTCATTTTCTATCAAACAAGATATAAAATTGGGTTCATTTTATAATAAAGAAGTTAGAGTATTCGAATCATACTCTAACAAGTAAGTTATAAAATCATGACCAAATGATTTTTCAACTCTTGCCCGCTTAATGCGTCTCGGCTCGAGCTCGGGTTCTTTGTCAGATTCCCCACTATCATTATCCATAGTTTCGTCAAATATCCGTTCTGACGTACTTGGTTATTCGTTAGACCTATAAAGAAATACATTTTCAAAGAAATATGCATTCCTTGACTCTATTATCGTGTTCTCGTATACGTCTTGATTATGAGACTCATGTACTAAGAACCGATAAGCACTACTTTTATGTGCATAGCCAATAAAAATACAGTCCACCGTCTTAGGACCTATCTTTACTTTCTTAGGTGTTGGCACCAAAACTTTGACAAAACACCCCACACTTTCAGGTACTGGTGGGAAGGTTTCTTATCGTTCCACAGCTCATAAGGAGTCTTATCGAGCTTCTTGCGGAGTACCTTATTTAAAAGGTAATTACTTGTCAAAATCGCATCACCCCACATACCTTGAGGTAGACCCGAACTTATAAGTATCGCATTCTTAATATCTTTAACCCGACTTAAATCGAAAGTAAATTCTACTTATAATTGTACCACGAAATAATCATTTAACATGTCATTTTATGTAATTTTAAGCTACTTTCCAACAACAAGAAGCGTAGAGGATAATCGGAGAGGAGAAGAATTCAACGACGCCGGAGAATCCGACGAGAATTACAGAAAAAGCGTTTGGCTAAAAATTGAAAATTTTAATGTCGGAGGGTTTGGTGGACAAAAATTGAAAATTAAATTAGTGTAGTGCGGATTTGAAAATATATTTCGGGTTTTCCCTCCAAAGCACAGCGGTGATGGGACAGCTCTGGGCCCAGATATCAGAAATGCCCAATAGTAGCTTTTGATGTTGGACCCAACAATGCAATGCAAATTTAGGCCCATATTTGTGGCTACCTTTGGGCTAGGGCAAATTATGCTATGCGCACGTGCGCACCTTGCAAGGTGCAAGATGTGCACGGCGCTAAAATGGTGTCGTTTTCACTGAAAATGACGCCGTTTTAACTAAAAAACAAAAAATTGTTCGAAACGCCGTTAACGGCATACAGTTATAGAATTATGAATGTTCATTTATGGAATTATGAACTTACAATTATGAACATAGAGCTTCGAAAATTATGAATGTTCGGTATGGAATTATGAATATATAGTATGGAATTATGAATGTACAGTTATGGAATTATGAATGTACAGTTATGAAATTATGAATGTACAGTTATGAAATTATGAACATAGAACTCTGACATTATGAACTTACAATTATGAACATAGAGCTTCGAAAATTATGAATTTACAGTTATTGAATTATGAATGTACAATTACGGAATTATGAATGTACAGTTATGGAATTATGAATGTACAGTTATGAAATTATGAATGTACATTTATGAAATTATGAACAGAAAGCTGTGAATATATACTCATATAACAAAGCGGTCTGAAATAATTTTTTTTTTTTTTTTAAAAAGAAAATAACAGTGCCTGACGATACTGTTACCGTGCCCATGATGCAAGATGGGCACGATTCCACAACATAACGTCTCTTGGGCTAGACATTGAAGAAATAAAAAATGCCGAAACGTAATCAAATGCCCAAAAAATCCCGCATAACTCTTATTTATTCATTATTATAAACTGCAAATTCGCTACTGCTATAGTACTCCTATGGGCTTGGCGGCTCTCCCTATTCAAAAGAAGAAAAATATAAATAATTTTAGTAACTTTTCAGAATTTCGGCGCACGTGTCACGTGTGGAAGGCAAGCCGCGCTTGAGCTTTATGCACGGACATCATTTTGCTTTCACGCTACGTCCTTCCCATTATCCCATATCCATTCATTTGTCCGTTTTCTTCCGATTTTGTTTATGTGCTCCTTTTCCTTGCGCTTTTGCTCCCTTTTTCATTTTCCTTCCTCCAAAGTACATTTAATTTGGGTCATTTTGAGCACAAACTATTTATATAGTTTGATGAAAACTCAAATAAACATCTTGAAATAAGTGTAAAAAGGGGTAAAATATGGTACAAATTAAAATAAGAGTCATCAAATACAACCCTAAATCAAGTATGATAATTATCTAAACATATTAAGCATAAACGTCATAAAAAAAACAAAATAATAAATCATAAATATCATAAAGGAAATATATGGAGAAAAAAAAAAGAGAAAACTTTTCTATTAAAATGGAAGTGAAATAATTGAATTTTTACAAACTTCAAAAGTAAGGAACATAAATCTAAGTTTAATCTAATCTTAAAATATAAAAGAACTGAATAAAAAATGACTAGGATGCAATATGGGACGGAACCATAAAAATAACGTTCAATTCGTGCTTAAATAGATCGCAAAGCAGTCTCAATCTAATTCCTTCCACATATCAGAGACCTCACTTATATTTCTTATGTTGATCTTATTATTGAGTATATTAGAAAATTAGCTAATGGTTTCTTTTATGTTAATTAAGAAAGCGTTTTCATTGCCAATCGTAGGGAATGGAGGACTGTTACGTTCCTCCTAATTTCCTGTATGATGTATTTGTTGCTGATATTCATTAATGTCATTGTTAAGTTATTGTTGTATTCAGAGCGTTTTATATCACGCACACATACAAAACTCTATCTTCTAATGTTTCAGCATGCAGTCCGCGATTCCACAAATATATGTATCAAAGGTCAATTATATTGGTCACAAAAAAACAACACATAATGAATTATTGAATTCAAAACGTCTACGAGGACAATTGTCAGTTAACAATTGTAATCAGACAATTCAAGCTGTGTCCATGTCAATATCAATCACTGTTAGACATTAATGCATGCGCTCCTAGTTTCGGGTTTGCATAATTTCAACCCCAATAATGTTAGGTTTGACTAGTAGAGCAATTCATTGGTAATTGGTCATGAATCGGGACTATTATGATATGATACCCAGATTCTTCTGGATTTCATAATAGTTTTGATTTTTTAACGAGTTGGTTGAGGCAGCGCTTTTAATTATATATTGATTTTGAAAAATTAAGGGTGTGTGTTTGGTTGATGGGTTTAGCCCATAGGAATGTGTATGAAACTGATTGTTATGATTTGGTTGATATTTTTTTAGAACATTAATATGTGTTTTGAGTACCCCATAAAAAAATTCATATCCAAATAAAATAAGGGATTCATTCCCTTATTCATTCTCAGGCACTATTATTAGTAACCATTCTCATTCCATCATACCAAGTATTTAATACCCATTCTGATTCCGATTCTCATGTGCGAACCAAACACATCCTAAATTCAATTTTGCAAAACAACACAAGTGTATGTACGTTCGTTATATTCACGTGCACGAATCAATAGTCCTATGTATTTGGAATAGTATGTAGCTAGATAGGCAGGCAATTAATAATAATAATAATTTAATTTGGTTTTTTTTTTTTTTAAAGAAAAAGACGATATGATCTGATCCATACCAACATGAATGCACATGGCAATGGTTTAGCAGCCACGCATCCGACAAAATAGCCAGTAGCAGTAGCTTCAGTCAATTATATATGATCGAGATGGGTCCGGATATAAACATACATGGTATGTTGTACAGTATCCTCTACGCGATATGATAATTAATCTCTACATACTTCTACTACTATACGTACTATACGCTGCAAATATATATATATATATATATATATACTCTAATTGTTTGTACGTGGAGTGCTGCATTTTTATATTATTATTCTGAGAAAGATAGATATGATGATGGCAATCTGCAGCACAGCGCTTGCATTCATTTTTATTATCGTACTTAGCTTGGGTTATTATATGATTCTGAAATTGAGGTGCCGGTCCTCCGATGATAAGGTTGTTCCTACGAACTGGGCAGTAGTGGGAATGATGCCGGCGCTTCTTAAGAATGCTCACCGAGTCCACGAATTCGCGACTGATGTTCTGAGACACAGCGGAGGGACATTTGAGTTTAAGGGTCCAGCTGGCTTTGATAGCTTGAGCATGCTGGCTACCAGCGACCCAGCTAACATCCACCATGTCCTCAGCAAAAACTTCTCCAACTATCCCAAAGGACCAGAGTTTCGAAAAATATTTGATATTTTAGGAGACGGGATTTTCAACGTAGATTCCCAGTTGTGGGAGCTTCACCGTAAAACCACCCTCTCCTTCCTCAATCATGCCCAATTCTACACCTTGTTACAGACAAATGTGTGGCACAAGGTAGAGAAAGGTTTGTTGCCGGTTCTTGATTGGTTTGCAGAAGAGGGAGCGGAGTTTGATTTGCAAGATGTTTTCCAGCGCTTCACCTTTGACGCCATTTCGAAGCTCGTCTTACACCATGACCCTGAAAGTCTCTGCCTTGGCTTGCCTTATGTTCCCTGCGAGAAGGCCTTCAATCATGCGGTGGACGCTCTTCTTTATAGGCATATATTTCCAGAAAGCTTCTGGAAGTTACAAAATTGGCTGGGGATTGGCAAAGAGAAGAAGCTTATTCAGGCGTACCGCGCTTTCGATGAATTCATATACTCCGCCATCAAACGCCTAGAAGAGCGGATGATGATGATCACCACAAATATTGATAATAACTCCGACGACGACGACGTAAGCTTGTTCACTGCTTACGTACAAGCATACAAGCAGCAGGAGCAACTCACTACGAGTACTGGTTCTTCACTAGTGAAGTTTCTGAGGGACACTTTCTTGAGTTTAATGTTTGCAGGGAGAGATACAACCAGCACAACTCTCACTTGGCTTTTCTACCTGCTTGCCCAAAACCCACTGGTTCAGGCAAAAGTCCGAGACGAGATTGAAAACAAATTAAATCTAAAACAAGAGGACAAGCGGTTTTTCAAGGTGGAGGAATGCCACAAGTTAGTGTATCTACACGCTGCTCTGTGTGAGTCCCTCAGACTATTCCCGCCGGTGGCCATTGAGCACAAGGTGTCGGCGGGGATGGACGTCCTCCCTAGTGGACATCTGGTCAAGCCCAACACCAGAATCATACTCTTATTTTATTCATCTGGAAGGATGGATTCAATATGGGGCGAAGATTGCATGGAGTTCAAGCCCGAGAGGTGGATTTCAGGCCAAGGAAGAATCAAGCATGAGCCGTCTTACAAGTTTCCGGCATTCAACGCCGGACCCAGGACTTGTTTAGGTAAAGAAATGTCTTTTGTTCAGATGAAAATGATTGCTGCGATCATCCTCCATCATTATGAGTTTCAAGTGGTGGATTCCCATTCAGTTTCTCCCAGCGATTCAATCATCATTCAAGCTAAGCATGGCTTGAAAGTCAAATTTACCAAACGTAGCATGTAATACATACATACTACTTCATGTATGTTCGTTCTACTGTACTGTTCTATACTAGGCTTTTATCCCATGCAGTAAGCTAAGCTAGCTTAAATTTACCAAACGTAATAATACTGCTTGCATGCAATGGCACTTCAATTCATAATATACTCGTGTTTGTTTGTTTATTTGTAATAATATGTAATCTCTTGAATTTGATAAATATGCCATATATATAGTGTATGTATCATCTGTTTGACATCATCTTTCCAGTAACATATATGACATCTTCCAATTCTATTTTTCGCTTACTATTACTTTTTAAATGCGTAAGAATGGAAAAATGGAGACTCTCTTGTAAAAAATGAGCCTTCAGGTGATGATGAACTAGCTGCCCCCTTCTTGTTCTAGAATCTAATTTTATAGCATGAGAGTAAGTGGTGTAGGTTCATGGGGTTTTAATAGGTTTAATGGGTAGTAAATAGGCTGTTTATGGGTTGTAATGCGGTAGGAGGTTATAGGCAAGGATGGAAATTTCAATTCGTCCCGTGAATATTCACCCGAATCTATCCACATAGATCAAGTTTTTTTTTGGGTGGTAGTCGGTAATGAGTTGGGCCGGGGTGGGTCTTAAAATAGTAAACTCGTGGTGAGTCGGGTTGAATTTGAGTTCTATGTACAAAACCCGTCTAAAACCGACAAATTATTGTATGGACCATGGTCCACACAATGTTATGTGGACTATAACAAAAAGTACATTTTTAATATACCAAAAATGTACATTAGTTTTATACTGAATGTACATTATACAATATAATGTACACTCAGAACAAAAATAATGTATATCCCTGTATACAATATACATTGTTTTTGTACTAAATGTACATTATTTTTATACTGAATGTATATTATTTTATAATAGACAAAATATGGTTCACATAACTTGTGTGGACCATGGTCCACACAGTAATGATTGTCTAAAACCCCCACCTAACCCACCATGTGTGTGTCTATATATAAATAATATTAAAATAAGTACTAGTGCATAGTTATTTATAAAAATTTCTACAAATTCGTGTAACTATTTGCTATTTTTATATCTAAACAAGTAAGTTTACTTTTAAAAATTAAAATTTTAGTTATTATATTTAAATATTTCTATTATTTTATGTCTTAGTATAACTAATGATTTTTATTATTTATTATGTATAAATAATTTAAATTTTATATTTTAAAAAATAATAATAAAATGATAAGTGATGGGTACTCGTAGTGGGCACCCGGCCCGTACTTAGTGGAGGTTGGGTGGGTTTTGAAAAAATCCACACGATGCAGGTTAGAGGTGGAGGTGGGTGGAGAAAATATAAAGTGGGATGGGTGATGGATGTAGCCCTATCCAACACACCCCCGACCCATTCAATTCCCATCCCTAGTTATGGGAATAAAAGATAAGGAATTATATAGGCAATTGATGGGTAGTTAAGAGGTAATAATTTGGTGGTTAATGGGGTTTTTATGAGATTTATTATGGGTAATTAATAGGATGATAAATGGATATTTATTTGGAGTTTATGGAGGGGTTTAAGTGATCCAATCAGATTTTCATGCCGAGTATCCATCAGCATGCATGAATGAAACCAAAATAAAATCCAACAGGAAATAATAATAATGCGCGCATGACATAAATGTATTATGTGCAGTTGAGTCTGGACTCTGGATCAACGTTAGTTTCCTCTCGATCACCACTTAGACACAGACTGCCTGGGTCGGCTCCACAGAGAAAACAATTCATTAAGGAGTTCTACTACATAGACTCCCAAATTTTTACTCTCTTATTTATACTCTTTGAAGTGACAAATCAAAATTGGCTATTTTCTGGATCCACGAAAAAATATTTACATCAAAAGCATAAGAGTATGTGAGAAGGGAGTACAATTTGAGAGTTTAAAATGGTAGTACACCAAGTATTTTCTTTTATGAAGTCACGGGATGTCAAGTGAGGATGACAAGATAGCTGTTCCGTTCCTTGTACGTCTTTAATGTAATTATTAATCATCTCGATCCCATCCTAGCCAGCCTAACTAGCTGGCCTACTTATCATCAACAGGCCGATATAAACCAGCTGATCCAGCAAGTTAAACAAATTGCATATATGCAGTATTATAATTCCATATAGCTGTTTTACTCAATCTCCGATATGATCACGATGGCAAGTGCCGCATTATTATTATTATTATTATTATTTATGATATTTAGCTTCTTGGGTTGTTTTTGTTATATGAAGATGAAGATGAAGATGAAGATGAAGATGATGATGGAAAACAGCAGCGGGTCGGCGATTCCGAGGAAGTGGGCAGTAGTAGGAATGTTGCCGGGGCTTCTATACAATGCTCACCGACTGCACCAATTTGTGACTGATATTCTGAAAGAGAGCGGAGGGACATTTGAGTTTAAAGGACCTGTACGTGTCGGGTAACTTGGACATGCTTATTGTATCTGCACGGTGCACTGTACGTGTGAACCCCTGAGACTGTTCCCACCTGTGGCCATTGAGCATAACCTGTCGGCAGGAAAGGACGTCCTCCCTAGTGGACATCTGGTGAAGCCCAACACCAGAACCATACTCTCATTCTATTCATCAGGAAGGATGGAGTCAATATGGGGGAAGATTGCATGGAGTTCGATCAAGCCAGAGAGGTGGATCTCAAGCAAAGGAAGAATCAAGCACGAGCCTTGACGGAAGATGAGGGCAGGTCAGAAGGAGGGAAAGTCAGTTGAGAGAAAGAAAGCTCTGTTTCATTCTGGTAAGTTCTGTGTTGAATACAAGATATGGAAGCATACAATATAAATGGTGAGACTAAGAACGGTTGCAACAGAAGCTATGGAAATTACATAGGAGTCCCTCTAGTGTCTCTCTTTATCTTCCAACAAGTTTCCCGCATTCAACGCCGGACCTAGGACTTGTTTAGGTAAAGAAATGGGTTTGGTTCAGATGAAAATGATTCCTGCAATCATCCTACACCATTATGAGTTTCAAGTGGTGGATTCCCATTCAATTTCTCCTAGTGATTCAATCATCATTACTATAATTACAATCATTATCATATTATTTTACTTATCATCAACTTCTATATATCATTTATACACGCATTTACTTATATAAATAACTTATTCGCTTACGCTTAAAGTTATATATTTGATAGGGAATATCCCGACCGACATAGCTTCACCACGACCGAGAAGCCTTTGTCTTTTTCTCTTTGTCTTTGCAGGTAGCAGGTCGGGCTCCTTGTGAAGAACCCGGTCGGGAGCCGACCGGGAGTTGCCCGAGCGACGGTGTCGACCGCCGAGCGGTAGCCCTTTGGCAAGAGAGCTGACGAAAGACACGTGGCGACTCTCTACGACGACAGACAGGGCACCCGGGAGGATGACACGTGGTGGCTACGTGGAGGGCATGCCGAACGGCTGGAATCCTGTCCCCGGCATAGCGGCTATAAATACCCACAGTAGCTACAGTGTAGGGGACTTTTGGACGATCGATAGGTTGCTGTTAGAGAATCCCGACCGCAGTCAGTCGGTACTCAGAGCAACCAAGTAGATTGTACTTAGGGCCTTTACCGTGATCAATAAAGACATTTACTTGCTTTACTTGGTCTCGAGTTATTTCATATTGCTTACGTATAATTAGCAGTATCATTTTGGCGCCGTCTGTGGGGAACCGTGCAAGAAACCAACGTCTTGACGAGCACCCGGTCTCTATATCAACATGTATCCGTGGGCACACAACAACTTTGCCGACGACCAGGCGGATGTGGCGAGCTCCTCCGACCACTATGCTACCTAACAGCAGGGTCAGACGATGGACCTCAACCTCAACCTCTCACCACCGCATCCATCAAATGCATACCCGGCCGCCCAGCAGCCGGTGAATTACATACAACCGGGATACCCAACACCCGGTTTGCCATATCAGCAGCAGCCGGTGATGTATCCCGCCCAGTATCCGTACCCGGTCCCACCTCCGCCGTATGGGTATTGGCCAGGCCAACCGATGTGCTACACTCCCCCGGTTGGTTATCCACCATATACGCCTGCTTATACAGCTCCAGCCGCCGCCCCTCCAGTACAACCGACCGCACAGGTAGAGCCGCAGCGTCAGTCCGCATCCCGGGCTCGACGCTCGGCTCATTCGCGGTTGGGGTCGGGGGGTGCTGATGCGATGGAGGCACCAGCTCAGGCCGTCCGAGCGGAGGACCCCGAAGAAGTTGCCCGAGCGGTAGCTTTTGATCGTCTTCGACCGGAGATGCGCCAGCGTTTGGGACCCCAAGACCCGAACCGCGGGCAAGAAGACATACAGATGCAGGAGGCTAGTCAGGAGGCTTCATCTGGGTATAGCGGGTCGAGATCTCACCGACGGCGACGCGCTCGGGATACAGCCCAAGCCGTTCAAGCCACCGAGCTCAACGAAACCCGAGGATTACTATATAACCTCCAGGCGGAAGTTGCGCAGCTCAGGAATGCGTACCCCGCAACACCCCCGGTCAACCAATCGACCCTGCACCAGACGCCTTTCACAGCAGCGGTAATGGCCCAGCCTTACCCGCTTGATTTAAAGGTCTCTGGAGAGAAGAGTTATGACGGACGGGCAGATCCTGAGGCCCACGTGAATGATTTTTTCAGCAACATGATGCTGAAGGGCGTTTCGGACGCCGTGATGTGCAGGGCCTTCTACTCGACCCTCACCGGTCGGGCGGCAGAGTGGTTCCGTACCCTGCAACCGGGGTCGATCGATAAATTTGAGACCCTGGCGATCAAATTTGTGAGGAAGTTCATCACTTCCAAAGTGGTGAGGAAGTCCTACATGTATCTCGAGAAGGCCAAGCAGCTAGAAGGGGAAAGCTTGACCGATTTCCTCATCAAATGGAAAGCAGCGGTCGGGGAGGTCGAGCCTATGGACGATGCGACCGCCACCCATATGCTTCACATATCTCTCCGGGCGGGACATTTGTACCAAGACTTCATCTTACACCCCCCGACCAGTTACGAGGAGGCCCTTCGGAGGGTCACGGACTATGCCAACGCCGGCGAGGCGAACGCCGTCAAGCGCTTGCAGGAGGTCGGCTCTTCGTCCCGTAAACCGGCCGGCCGGGCGGAACATAGGTCGGGAGATGACAATCCCCGATCCCGCACCAGGCCTGGCGAGTTTACGGCCTTGAACCGATCCGCAGCGGAGGCCATGCAGTACGCCCAGTCCTGCAATCTCATCAAACTCCCCCATCCCGATCGAGACGGCCCTGACAAGAGTAAGCACTGTGCTTACCATCGATGTGCCGGGCATGACACCGAGGAGTGTACCCACTTACGCCAATTGTTGGAAGATCTGCTTAACAGGGGAAAATTGGACAAGTGTGTGGGGAAGAGAGAGGACAACAAGAGGAACACCGATCGGAGGGATCATAGACGTTCCCATCACCGCTCTGATCGATCAGGGCAAGACAGAAGGGACGATCGTCATGATGACCGACGGGACCCCGACCCTTCGTCTGGTAGCCGCCCGTCCGGAAAGCCCACCATCCATGTCATTTTTGGTGGACTGGAAGATGCTTCCCGACCGCGAACTAATTGCCCGGTCGCGATAGTGGATTCCCGGGAGACCGGGAAGAGGCAGAAGATGGAGCCCATAACCTTCACCCTTGAAGACCAACCTAGCAGCAGTGACCACGGCATGGAGGCGCTCGTGGTCACGATTGACGTTAAGGGGACAGACGTCCAGAGGGTTATGGTTGACACGGGCAGCAGTGTGAACGTCCTATACTTGGACGTGTTTGAGAAGCTTGGCCTCGACAGGAAGGAGCTGACTCCGGTCGGTGTACCACTGTCAGGATTTACCGGGGCTCTTATTTACCCCGAGGGAAAAATAGCGCTCCCGGTCGAGATCGGCACACCTCCAAAGTCGATCCAAACGGAGCTAGAATTTGTTGTGGTCAACCTCCATTGCGTCCACAACATTATCTTGGGCCGACCCGCCATCATGAAGATCGGTGGGATAATTTCTATGCCCCACCTGTGCATGAAATTCCCCAACCCTAATGGGGTCGGCGTGGTCCGCGGCGATGTCCAATCCGCCCGGAAGTGTTACACCCGAGCGGTCAACAGACGAGATTCCGGTCCGTCTTCCCGGGTGAACACCATAGCCAAAGAGGAGGCTAAGGAACGGAAGGAGCAGCCTGAGCCTTCTGAAGAAATAGAAGAAGTTCCCCTATCCGAGGACCGCCCGGATAGGAAGATCAAGATTGGCCGAGCCCTCACCCCCGAGCTTCGAGTGGAAGTTTTGGCCGTACTCCGGGAATATGCTGATATCTTTGCGTGGGGGCCTGAAGACATGCCCGGGATAGATCGATCGGTCATCTGTCACAAATTGGCCGTCGATCCCTCAGCCAAGCCGGTCGTGCAGAAGACACGACACCTTTCCTCCGATCGCCGCGAATTTGTCAGAGAAGAAGTCAAAAAGATGGCGGCGATCGAGCACATCCGTCCGGTGGTCTATCCCGAGTGGGTGGCAAATATCGTTCTTGTTCCTAAGCCCCCAGCATGGAGGATGTGCATCGATTTTACGGACCTCAACAAGGCCTGTCCGCTCGACCCGTATCCTCTACCGAGCATTCACCAGATGGTCGACGAGACGGCCGGGGCCGAATTAATGAGCTTCATGGATGCCTTCAAGGGGTACCATCAGATCATGATGCACCATGAAGACGAGAGCAAGACAGCCTTCGTGACCCCGGATGGGCTGTATTGTTACCGAGTGATGCCGTTCGGCCTCCGGAACGCAGGAGCGACCTACCAGAGGATGGTCAACATGCTCTTTGCCGATCTACTGGGCCGAACGATGGAAGCTTACATCGATGATATGCTGGTCAAGAGTCGGGACCGGTCCGACCACACTCGGGACCTCCGGGAGTGCTTCCAGATCATGAGGAAGTACCAGTTGCGGCTGAACCCGACCAAGTGCACATTCGCGGTTCAGACCGGCAAGTTCCTCGGCTATATGATGACCAAAAGAGGAATCGAGCCTAACCCGGCCAAAGTAAAAGCGATTCTGGACATGCAACCACCTTCCACCGTTCGGGAAGTCCAGCAATTGACCGGTCGGTTGGCAGCCCTCAGCCGGTTCCTCTCCAAGCTAGCCGAGCGCGCTTTACCTTTTTTCAAAGTATTGCGGAAGGTTAATGGATTCGTCTGGGACGAAGAATGCCGAGCGGCTTTTGATGAGCTGAAGGAATATCTCATGTCACCGATCGTGCTCTCAAAGCCTGAGCTCGGAGAAGAGCTAGACGTGTACCTCGCCGTGTCCGATCGCACAGTAAGCGCAGTGTTGTGCCGAATCGATCCGGAAGGGGTCCAGCGACCGGTGTACTATGTAAGCCACGCGCTACATGGTCCCGAGCTCCGGTACTCCCGGCTAGAGAAGGTCGTCTACGCCTTATACATTGCCGCGAAGAAGTTGGCTCCCTACTTCCAAGGTCGAGCGATTCGCGTGTTGACCGATCAGCCGATCGGGCCAGTCCTCCGAACTGCTTCATCATCCGGTCGCTTAGTCAAGTGGGCGTTAATGCTGACACAATACGCGATCGAATACCGACCAAGACCAGCTATCAAAGGTCAAGCTCTTGCTGACTTCTTGGTCGAGTGCACCGCCCGGGATACCCGGCCTCCTGAGGTTGCGGATCCCGAGGCTGAGTGGTGGTCGCTGGCTACTGATGGGTCAAGTAGCAAGAAAGGGGCAGGAGGAGGAGTGGTGGTCACAAGCCCGGAAGGATTCAAGGTCTATTTTGCTCTCATGTACCAGTTCCACCCGACCAACAACGAAGCCGAGTACGAAGCGTTCATTAACGGCTTACAGTGCGCTCGGGACTTGGGGGCTGAATACATCCGAGCTCAGACAGATTCCGCGCTCGTGGTCGGGCATGTTCTCGGAGATTATGAAGTCAATG